TGGGGCAGTGGGAAGAAGAGTTTGTTTAGCTTTTTGCCTGCAGGCACAGCACTGCGCTCACCCAGCTGAGATGGAGGGATTCCAACTCTTGTGGGCAGGCTGGGGTTGCTCTGGGCCAAGGCATCATATAATCCCTCTGTTTGCTGCCTCACTGTTTTTGTGCTGGGCCCTTTGCTGAGCTCAGGGGGTTTTGAGTGTTTACTGTCCATCTGGAGTCCAGCAGTGCCTAAAGGAGGCCCATGGAGTCCTCTACCACTTCGCCCTTGCCTACAACTCCTCTCCTTCCACATGGTCACATAAGTACAGAGGCACCTTTCTTACCCAGAAGGTTCTGTTTAGATGCTACAGGATACTTGGATCAGCCTTGTCTACATACCAGCAAAAGGAAAGAAAGGCTGTATCTCTCTCCATTGGAAAAGAGCAAATTTGCCTGTGGGGATTTTTTTTTAAGTGCCTCTTTCCTGCATCTTCACAGTTTTGGGGGTTTTTAACTTCAATTTTATTTAATTTTTTTTTTCTGATTTAAAAAAAAACCAACAAACTCTTTGCAGGAAGAAGGTGTCCCTGCAGGGGTGGTAGGAAGACAGAAGAACATAGTAACATTAGGGCTGACAGAAAATACACTGCTCTGTGCTGTGCCCTTTGCCAGCAGTGCAGGCTCAGGTGAAACCAGTCACTGCATCTCTTTTCTTGTTCAGTATGTGTTCGACTACCAGGACGGGGACATCTTTGGCTGTGTGGCAGACATCGGCTGGATCACAGGACACACCTATGTGGTCTATGGCCCCCTCTGCAATGGTGGTACCACTGTCCTTTTTGAGAGCACACCTGTCTATCCTAACCCTGGTGAGTGAGGTGACTCATGGGAGCTGGGACATTCCACAGCACCGAGATCCACAGCAGGCAGGGAGCTGCCGGCTTGATGCCAGGACATGAGCAGCAAAGGCTCTGTTGCCTCAGCAGCAACCCGTGGGCTGTGCCCAGTAGAGAGCTGCAAGGGGAAGAGTCTTTTCCTCTGCTTAGGAAGCCGCTGCTGCTTCTCCAGGGGTGGAGCTGTTAATCCCTCTCCCTCCCTGCAGAAGGAACAGTAGCAAAGCTGGGTGATGTGAAGAAAAAGGGGCTGCTGCTCCTGAACTACTTTCATCCTTCCCACCATGCAATTAACTTGACTGAGGGCCCTGGCACTGCTGGAGAGTCTTTGCTCTCACCTCTTCTTTCTCTGCCTTGGTGTTGGGCTGGGAGGACCTGTGTGGATGCTTACTGGCCCTGTTTCCAATCCAGGCCGCTACTGGGAAACAGTAGAGAGGCTAAGAATTAACCAGTTCTATGGGGCACCCACTGCCATCCGCCTGCTCCTGAGATACGGCGATGAATGGGTGAAGAAGTATGACCGCTCTTCTCTTAAAGTGCTTGGCTCAGGTAAATGCAGCAACATGGGCTGGGACAGCAGATCCTTGGACATCACATGGTCCCTCTTCCCACAAATGCCAAGAGTAGCAGCACATGAGACCCCAGAGTCAGGAGACTGTACTATTTCTGTTCTTTCCCCTTGCAGTGGGGGAACCCATCAACAGGGAGGCGTGGGAATGGTACTTCTGCGTGGTCGGCGAGACACGATGCCCAGTAGTGGACACTTGGTGGCAAACTGGTGAGATGCATATGATTCCTTGCTCCAGCTTCTGCTCTCCCAGGCTTTAGGAGTGACCTGCTGCTTTGCTGGTCAAGCGATAGTGGTTGTTGCTGAGAGTCTTGTATGAACAAGGATGTAAAGGCTCATAAGCACCCGAACATTAAAGAGAAAAAACAGTCTTTAAAGCTAACCAAGGTAAACGTGGGGATTTGATCTGAACTGATCCCTGCTGAACTAAATGAGCACAATTGTCCTTCTGCAAAGTCCCTTCCTCAGCCCCAGCCTGTGCAGTGCGTAGTAAGGGACAGGGCAAAGACTGTTGGCCAAGCAGTGCTACTTGGCATTCCTCTTGCCCCAACTTTGATGAGCATTACTATTTCTTTTCCTTCAGAAACAGGAGGCATCTGTATCTCACCCCGTCCTTCTAATCCTGGAGCTGAAATCCTTCCAGGCATGGCTATGAGACCCTTTTTTGGGATCAGGCCCTGCCTCTTGGATAACAAGGTATGTTTTTAACATGCAGTCCAGGCACTGGCTCAGCCCCCTTTCCCCCAGGTACCTGCAGTGCGTACTTACTGGTGGGAGTGAAAATCTGTAAGTATGTATTTCCTGCTCATCTCTGCTAGACAGCAACCTTCCTTACTGGAAAGGGACAAACAGGAAAGCTATTCTTCCAGCTAGTGCAGAAGCTGAGTTATTGTCTAGCTTGCACTGTCCTGACAAGAGAGGCTGTGTTTGGGCTCCCTGGCACATCTTTCCAGGAAGGACAAGGCAGGGCAGGGACAGCCAGTCACCCTGGAGGGGCCTTGCATCCTACCACGGGAGGCAGTTTGTTGCAGACATATGCTGGGAGAGACTAAGCCTGTCCTGTTGAAGTAAGGCACACAGGACCCTCCTCACAGGGTTGTTAAACAGGCAGTAGCTAAACATCCCAAGTACCTTCAGCCATGGTTACTAAAAGGTAGCTATTTTACAGGGAAATGTCCTTCTGGAAAATGATGTCTCAGGAGCTCTTTGCATCTCACAAGCCTGGCCTGGTATGGCACGAACCATTTACAACGACCACAAGAGATTTCTGGAAACTTACCTGACTCCTTATCCAGGTAAGGAAAACATGTGCAAGGACACTTGCACACGTTTGTTTGGGTATGGTTGGGTCTGCTTGCTGGTTTTCTGTATGGAGGCAGGGTTCAGGAGAGCTGGTACTGCTCCTTTGTTCTTCCAGAGACCCTCCACAGTTCTGAGGCCTTTCATCTCCCCTTTCATCTCTGATATCACAGGACTGCCCCTCACCAACTTCCCCACTGGATCACACATTGTTTTAAGGCAGTGGATTTGTCTTTCTGCCCCCAGTCCCCTTGAGCACAGACCTTGCTGCATCTCTTGTAAACCCTGTGTGACTCACCCAGAGGCACTGAGTAAGCCCAAGACTGTGTGTGTCTTGATGTAATGCAAAGAGAAGCAGCAAGACCACAGGCACCTCCACTGAAGCAAAGTGCTCCCAGCACATGGTGATGAGACAGGCACAGTATTAGTCAGTACACTGCAGAATGAGAGTAGGAGCCTGATGATAGAGCAGGTACCAACAGATGCAGAAGACTAACAAGGAAGGTAGGCACATTTACCATGAGCAGTTGAGGAAGAAGCAGAGTACATGGGCCCTGAAGCCAACAGACAGGAGGAGGGGAAATATGCCAGTATGCTGGAAAAAGCCCAGTATGGCTGCTGGGCAGCTCACATGCTCTCTCCAAGTGACTATGGCATGGTTCTGGCTACTGCAGGATTTTTCTTCACTGGGGATGGTGTGTATCGTACCAGTGAGGGCTACTACCAGCTAACAGGACGGCTGGATGACGTCATTAGCATCAGTGGACACCGGCTGGGCACTGCAGAGATGGAGGATATTGTGGTAAGAGATGTGGGTGGGAGGTAAAACCATCCAAACTAAAGCAGTCAGGGGCAGGAGGAAAAGACTAGTGCTTGCAGACCTACTGAGGCAGGAAGGAAAAAGGGCAGAAGCCATCTGAGGCTCTTCCTTATCTCCCTGCATTATTGTGGGCTGGAACAGCCAAGTCAGGTCAGGGCAGCTCCAGGTGGCAGCCAGACTGCCAAAAGCACTGAGTCAAACTCCTGCCCTGTTCTCTTCCAGACTCACCATGTGGCAGTGGCAGAGTCTGCTGTCATTGGCTACCCACATGAGATCAAGGGAGAAGGTAAGATGCTATCTTTCCTCCCCAAAACATCTCCTGGGGCTATGGCACTGCAGCGGGAAGTGCCACTGGTAGCAATGCTGTGTCCACACCATACAGCATGTTAGCATGGATCTCAGCACAGCCATCACAACCTGCACCACAGACCAGCTAGGCTTTGCATAAAGTGGCAGCAGCAGTACTTATGTGTGGCCAAAAGCACGTACAGTTCTGGCTACAGAGCATCCCCTGGGGCTACCAGCAGAGAGGGACTCTCATGGCACTAGGTCCAGGCAGGGGCTCAGGGGCATGGTATTCACCATGCTCAGTAACCTGGTGGTCCTTCTGCCAGGAGCCTATGTGTTTGTTGTGCTGAAGAAGGACAGTGGCTACACACAGGAGACTCTTGCTGCTGAGCTACAGGAGCTCATCTCAAAGAAGATCGCCAAGTATGCAGTTCCAGATTATGTTCAGGTAACACAAGCTAACTGGTCCAACACCCACACTGGCAGATTGGCCAAGCCCTTTCCTTCAGCCTTGACTCTGACCCCATCACAGGTCACACACCGGCTGCCCAAGACACGCTCGGGTAAGATCATGCGTCGGGTGCTACGGAAAATTGTGGAGAACAAGGCCAATGAGCTTGGGGACCTAACCACCCTGGACGACCATGAGGCTGTGCAGCAGATCATAGAGGGACACAAGCACCTTGTGGAGCAACAGAAGGGCCACTAGCTTGGCTCTGCCAGCAGCCATCTCCTCCTCCTTCACTGCAAAACCAGGGAAACATCCAGAAAAGCCACTAAGCAAGTGGTGGCCAGTAAATTAACAGATCACGCGTCCACTGCAGTCTTAGCATGACTTCTCCACAACACAAGAGACCTTCAAAACCTGTCTCCATACACCCATATAGACAGAGAACATGACTCACCATAGGCAGAAGAGTAAGGGGAGACAAGCTGTTTCATTCCATGAAAGCAGAGGGCAGAAACCCCTCCTTGAGGTTCCTTATGCCTTGCAGTAGCTGCAGAGGTAGCAGCAGGCAGGATGTCCAGTCCTGGATAGGGATACTACTCCTACCTCTGCTCTGCTCTTTAGCAATGGTCTTGTCCAGGACCACTGCCAATATACAAGCATCTCCTCCAAAGCGAACCCCAGAAAGAAAACACGCAACAGTCCGGTTAACAAATATTTGACTCTTCTCCATAAAAACAGTTTGAAAACTGGCCCCAGATTTTAATACAAAAATGTTCCTTTCACTTGTAGCCATGTATTATAAGGAGAGCAGAGACATGCCCCTTTTCTGTGCTAGCATTCTCCTCCCCTTGTCTCCTGCTGGAAAACAATTCTTGACAGAGCCACAAGGTACATAAATCTGTTCTGCAGCGCTCCTAGCAAGGCACAGAGGGCAGAAAAGGAGGCTGCATTCTACCTCACACCAAATCTATCCCAAACAAAGTGGAGGTTTCTCTGGCTACTGTTTCTACAAGACCCACGAGGCAGCATCTTCTCTCAGGGAGGCCTAGCAGCTCAGCTCCTTCCTTCCGTGAGAGCCAGGGAGGCAGAAGGCTGGCAGAAGGATGGCATAACTGTGTCTGCTCTTGGCAGAACTCCACACCATGAGTTCAGGCATACTCTTTGTCTATCAGCAAAATCCAGAACTGGTCTTGCACTGTTAGACACAGCTGCTGACGTGGCAGCTCCATGTCTGCTATTGAGAGCTCTTCCACACGTGTGCAGGTTCTCTGGCTGGCCAGACAAGGACATGTTTTTCAGTGTCCTTCCTCAGAGGGGAGCCGCTTCATTTTCTCACATCGAGTGAGCTCCCATCTTCCCTCCCCATGAAGTTTCAAAATCCAGCTGTGGAACTGCAATTCAATAGCACAACATTGAGGGATGTCCACCCACAGTGAGGTCCTCTAGTCTTAGTCCTCTGCTCGCCAGAGATTCACTCTACCTCACCACCACGAGGGAAGCATGGAGCATTGCCTCCTTGTCTCACCTTTTCCAGGCTGGGTCTGTGTCCCACGCTGATCAGTGTCATACCCAGCTGAAGGCACATTCGGTACAGTTCATGCTCCACCTCTTCTGTCAAGGCACTAGTGGCTTCATCTAACACTGAAAGAAAAGTCATAAGCCCCACAAATCCTCTCCCAACAAGACATCTCCTGTAGGCAAGAGCAACTCTCAAGAACATTTCACATATTAACTGGAGCTCCCCAAGAGCATCTGTAGAAGGCAAGTGAGGAGAAACCTAAGGACTCTGGCATAGCAGGTGTCAGACAACTAGGAAAGCTATCCTTCCCCTCAAGTACTTGAATTAATCCAAACCACACCGTTCACCTCACTCCTCTCCCTCAACAGCTGCCAGCCACTGCCTCATCCCTGTCATGGCAAAAGTCAAGATACAACCTTCTCCAGGCAAACCACATGCCAGAGCACCAGGCTGAACAACAGTCAATGTACTCTTCCAGCACAAACCCTCCATGGAACATGTAGGATGGTCTTTGGCACCTTCCTGTCTATTAAGGGTAAATATTACAGAGCTGGAGCAAATAAATTCAAATCATCGCTACAGCTTTTAGTTTGCAATCCACAGGTTCCTTCTGCCCAGACATCACTGAGCTGTGCCACAGGCTTCAGGGGAAAAAGAGGTACTTACATGTAGCTACCTGCTACCGAAACTGCCTCTGTTCACCCACATCCCACCTGGCCCTCATGGCAAGTACTCCAACAGCTCAAGCCCCCAGCAGAACCTAAGGAATTGGCCCCATTAGCTAATCTCTCAGGACTGTTTCTTCGACTGCTTCCTGTCTTCTTTTGCCACATCAGGGCTAAACCTTCCATATTGCCCCCACAACTGTACAGATGTACATGAGCTTCAGATACGACAGCTGCTGCCACACTCCCCAACACATGTACTTCTTTACATAGCAACTGGTGAGCAGGCTGACAAAGTTCTTTTTCTGGTGCCATTGGAGATGGACCATGAACATTAATCACCAGTTCCCTAAGAAGAAAATGTCTTACATACAGCCTCTTGATTTACCACCCTCCACACAAATAATGAAATGTTTTCACATTTCACAAATGAATCCTCTGTGTGCTATGCTGCTAAAATAATGACCAAGACAAAGCATGTTCCTAGCACAAAAGGAATTTCACGAGCTGTCTCTGTACCAGCTTCTCTAAGCACCAAAGATCTTGTCTTCTTTTCTCCCCTCTTCTGTAGTCAGTCACTCACCTGCATATTTTGGTTGGAGGTAGAAGAGTCGGGCAAATGAGAGCCTCTGCATCTCCCCTGGGGACAGGATGTCATACCTGCAGCAGGGTCGAGATCCAACACCTTCCTCAAGAAACAGAGCTCATTTGCTGAAAATCTTATGGCTTCTGATACTGGAGACCAGCAAACAACTGTCCCTGTTGTCCCTTGTGCCCCCCTCCATGTTGCAACCCTGTACACAGTCAGCTGCCTGCAGAACACCACAGCTGGTGACTGTTGACATAGATTCTTGGGGCATGAAGGCTTTGCTCCTGTATAGTGTCCATATCTCACGGAACAGAGATGGATACAGATAAATCCAGCAGCAATATGCATCTGATTAGAAGTGTTCCCCACTCAGAAATCACCCAAATACACACAGACAGTGAGCTCCCTTACCAGTTCCAGTCCACCTGTTCATCCAGTCCTCCAGCCCTTGCCAGCAAATCAGTCTACAGAGAGCAGAGCAGACTTGTGAACACAGTCCCCAACCCTGTCAACCTATGGCCCTGAGCATAACACCCTCTTTCTGCTGGTCTCCCTTTCCCCACTGGACCTGAAGTTGTACTATATCTCTCCTTTCTGTCCCATAGACAGTTGTGTCCTAAGTACACACAATGTCCCCACATAAGTTCAGCACACAATAATGCTGTGCTGCCACAAAAAATCACCCCTTCTTCCCTCACTGGTGGCACCAGGAAAGAAGGCAGCAGTGCTGCCAGTGACTTACCAGCCCAGCCAGCTCCAGGAATCGCACAATCCTCTCATCATCTGCAGACCCTGGGAGAAAGCCATACAGCATAAGGAGAGGCACTGTGTGCTGTGGCCACTGCTGCATGAAGGTGTTGGTGGGGGCAGAAGGGAAGAACTGGACTATGTCCTGAGGCACAGTGTGTAGTTATACCAGATCCTGAGCTTTGACAGAGATAGCCCCAAAGTCTGACCTTCCTTAAAAATGTTAACCATGCCTGTGAGCACCATACCAGGAGGTAGCTGGGCTCCACAGATACACCTGAGATTTGCCTCAGCTCATGGCCACAGCCAGAACACAAAGATCCAGGCTTCAACTGCCAAGGCCCTGCCCAACAGTTACTCTCTTAGAGCTGAGACTACACAGTGGTGGAGTCATGGGAACGGAGTTCAGGTAAGAGGCAGAAAAAGGACCCTTTGTGGGAAGAGAAATACCTCAGGGTGGGTCAGCTGTGGAGCAGAACATACACTTAAGCTAGTACAGTCAGCATCATTGGAAGATGAGTAGAAGGGCTGTAGTTACTCTCAGCAAGACTGTGACTCCCAAGTGTTTGAAAGCACCAGGTAACACTGCTGGACATCTCCAAGCTACAGCAGACCACATGTGGTCTGGCTTTGGAAGAGGGCAGGGGAGAGAAAGGATCCATATATTCTCACCTGGGACATTATTTTAAAAAAGCCGAACAGTAAAAGATGGAGGTGGATGAAAAATGAGATGAAGGCAAACATGACTTGCTGAAAGTCAGGTCATACCAAACAAATAGATGTATCCCAATAGCAACATATATCATATCATATCACATCATATCATATCATATCATATCATATCATATCATATCATATCAATGTGTAGCATAGCAAGAAGAACATGGCCAGCTTGTCCTCATTGTACTATGATAGGAAGTTCTTATGAAGTGAGTATGCTCCCTCACAAAAGGGGAGGGATAGAGAATTTGCCTTAACACAAACTAATCTGCTAGGGAACACCAGAGCAACAAAACCAAAATGGATGAGTGTTCCTGATGGGTTACAGCAGTGGAGAAGCTGAACTGAGTATAGGACAGTGAGGCAATACCACAGCACTGGTCAATTGCTGTAATGGATTTCCACAAACCTGAAAGTGGATAGATCTCCTTCAGGGGATAGATCACCTGTTTAACAGAGCAAAAGAAGCCATGTCAGAGAGAGCTGGACACTGTCCACCAGAGATGCAATAGCATGAACACAGGCACAAGGGAAGGAGCAGCCACAGGCATCCTCCCTCTTGCAGGCCTGTCTGCACCCCACGGGTTTGCAGGGCATGATCACAACTGGGTGCAGAGCTGAGGCCAGAGCAAAGACAGACCCTGGGCTCACCTGCTCACGCAGGCTTCCATCAGTGAAGAAGGGCCGCTGTGGTAGGAACACCACTCCTCGGGGGCCAAAGCAGGTCAGCATCCTGATGCTCCCTGCACAGAGACAGACACTCATCACACCTGCAGTACCAGGCAGCAACTCCCCACTGCCCTGTGTAGTCCTGTCCCATGAAGCAGCCAACAAGTCCCCACAAAAGTGTGTTTGCAACAAGGAGCAAAGCAATGAGAGCCAAAGACTGTGACAGAGATGGGTGGCTCAAATCAGTGTATCAGTGACACATTCACCATCACATGGTGGCACTGGCCTCACAAACTGCCACACTGCCACCTTCCAAACTGAGAGTAGCCTTTGTTGAGAAAGAGAAGGCTGAGGCAAGTAGCAGTCCTTACCCCGTGTGCTCTCCCAGAGTCCTCCGAGGACCCTCAGGAGAGATGTCTTCCCTGTACCAGTGTTCCCCACAATCATCACACTGTTTCCTTGTGAGATCCTGAGGCTCAAGTCCTTGATGAGCAGCTTGCCAGAGGATGGTACAGAGAGTGTCACTCGTTCCAGAAGGAAAGCTGTGTCCCTTGGCACTGGGTCCTCCCCAGAAGGGCTGCTGGGCCACCACCAAGACACAGAATGAGAGATCCAGAGGTAAGTGACCATGCTGAGATTGGCAAAGCGCAGGCACCTTCGACCTCCTGTGCCTCTGTGACAGTAGCCCTGCCCCACGCATCCTGGGAATGACAACTGACAGAGCACTGCCTGCTCCAACCAAATGCATGCAACAGACTGTGATACCAAGGGCTACCTCCATCCCATGGCAACCCCACACTCTTGCACATAAGCTGCAAGCCAGCCAGTTGCTGAGGCAACTCACCTGTCCAAATCCCAAGTGGTTTTGGCTTCTGAGTAGTTACCATTTTTTTTTCTGCCAAGGCTCAGCAAGGTCTCCTGCAGTTCACCAATCCTAGACACACAAGAGGTTGCATGGAAGTCAGAGACAATTTCAGCAGCCTCCTCACAATATCCAAACTTGCCCACGCTTGCACACGAGCAACTGTTTCTTTTTTTTTTTCAGCACAGACATGGGCAGGGTCTTGTCCTGCACTGCCCTTTCCTCCAGAGATGTGCCCACAGATAAGCTCACCTGTGTGTGTAGCCAGCTACATCAGTCACAGTGCTGGAGAGATCTATGAGCTGGCTGAAGCAGCCAATGAGGTAGATGGAAACAAAAGCATTCTGGGGAGAAATCACATGCCAGAGTAAGGGTCAGTCCTGAGCCGGGGCCCAGACTCTTATTCTGTGACTGCAGGGAGGCAGCCAAGGAGTCCACACATTTGGCTACATCAGCTGTCTCAGCAAGATGAATGAGGAGTGGTGAAGTCACCCAAGGTGGTAGGAGTGAAGGTGACCACATTTGAAAGAAGTAGGGCTTCCCTGATTAGTACAGCAGTTTTTGCCAGGTGGACACATGTCCTAGCACCCAGGGATGGTGTTTGAAAAGTGCCTGATGGCCTGCCTGGGGCCCAGCATGTTTGCCCAAGTCTCACAGATCTGTGCCACCAGCCCTGCCTCAGCACCGTATATGGCTCAGAGCAGGGTGTCTCAGCCTGCAGTGCCCACTTAGCTATTTTTAGCTCTGCATTCTCTATCACAAGCCAATTTTGAGTATCTAGTAATGAGTCAGGTCAGGAAGGTGAATGCAAGCCAGCTCAGCCTCACTGGTGGCCAGGCTCACCACAGGCAGTAGCCCAGGGCATAACCCAGACCCACAGCACTGCAAAGACCCCATCCCCACCTGCACTGTTGAAAACCAGAGACTTTCTGACCTCCTGGTTCTTTTTAGACACACAGGTCTGAGCTAGGAAACACTTACGTAAATGTGTCCTTGACAGTTCTCACCCCCAAGTTAATCACATACCAGCTGGCTACAAGCTCCCATTTCCATGACACCCTGAGTCGGGACAGTCTAACCTGAAGATCAAGTGCTGCAGGTTATCTAGTCCCAGGACCACCAGCCCCACATGAAACCTCCATCCTCAGTGCCTGCTCACCCTCCACAATGGGGTCATCTTAGCTCACCTTGCTGACAAGGGCACTGAGCTCTGTTGGACTCAGGTCACCGTAAACGCCAGAAAAGATGGGAATGGCAATGACCACGTAGCTCAGGATGCTGCCCAGATAATCAAAGGTGTTGATCCCAACTGGGCACAAGCACATTGAAAGAAAACAGTGAGTTAAAGTAGAAACCTCTGTTCCAGCCAAGCCCAAGTGCTGACCCTGAGCCCAGTCAGAGGAAGAGCTGTGTTCTTGCTTCAGCCCTTTATGATGAATCTGAGCAGAAAAACCTATTTTGCAGGATAGCACAAGAACCAGGGTGAAAATCCACTTGCCAAGCAAAGAGCACTTTGGGGCAGGCCCCTGAGCAGAGAATCATCATCCAGTCACACAGCTCAGGGACTACTATGGGGCAAAAACCACTTTGCCTGCTTGTTGCTATGCTTCAGGAGCCTGACTGACTCACAGTAAACAGGAGGGGAGGGCAACAAGGAAGCTCTGGGGTGAGATGGTTTTGCTATGAAGTGTGTCTTGGGAGCACATAACAGGCAGAAAGACTTAAGATCCCCAATTCCCACAGACACTTCTGTTCAGGGTTCTCCCTCCCATACACTACTCACTGTGCTGCTGAGATCAAGAAGAGCTGTCTTTACAGGGGTCATTTAAAGACAAAACCTGGACCCAGTGAAAAAGGGAGAAGGGATATTTTCAGGGGACAAGTATGCTTAAGAGACAGGCTCTACAGGGAAGAAGTTTCTACAGCTCCCAACCGCATATAGAGTCCCCAAAGCTCAAGCTCTTCCCTCTTGGCCTTTGAACACCTGCCCCACAGAAAGCCACATTCTGGATCCTCCATAACTTTGCCTTTTTATGAAAATTTTACACAACAGGATTCCCATTTAGCACTTCAGGAGGCACTCTCTGTTGACCCTCAGGGCTTTCACGTGTACCAGCAAGAGGCAGAAGAAGAAAACACAGCAGCCACCCAACTGCTCTACCAGTCGAGCTCCCCAGAGTGTGGACCACCACAATGGAGTTACCGCACACCCCAATTCACCCCCAGTCTGCCCACTCACTGTATAGCCACAGCTCCTTGCTTATCAGCTCCCTCTGGGTCTTCAGCAGGCTCTGCAGCCTCCGGTCTGTGCGCATGTGCTCCACTCGCCCAGCCCTGTAAAAATAAGATTGCAACATGCCACAGAGATCCTAGGACCATGGGCTTTAAAACTGAAGCTTTGAACAGGCCTGGCACCTTTTTCTCCAACTAACAAGCTCTTTATTGACCAGGAACTGAACAGCCAGGACTGCCTTCCTGAAGGGTATCATCAAGGAACTCCGGCTGAAGCAGGCAGTCCTACAAATCTCTCCCAGAGCCCATGGCTGCTGCTGTTGCAGCAGGAGGAGGTAAAGCCAGGCCAGGCACTATCAGCAAGGCTCTAGCCTGAAGCAATGTACACCCAAGGTCAAACACAGTTCACAAATACAGCCTGGTTGGAAAAGAGGGATGGCACTGCTACACAGCTGGAACCAGAAAGGAGAGAGCAGAGGAACGTCCAGGGAATGATAATCAGCCCACGTGGCCTGCATGGCCAGCAGCCTCAGTGCACCTCTTGCCATTTCCCACTCCATACGAATGGGACAAAGGCAAGTCCTGAGCAGTGCAACCCCTGTGACGGGTACCCCAGCTCCACAACTCCTCCCCTCCCAGGGCTATCTCCATCAGGTCACCCACCACACAAGTTAGTGGTGATGCCCCAGTGGCCAGGCTGAGCCAAGAGCAATGAGACATCTCCTAAACTACCACCTTCAAGCAACTGTGACAGCTCCTGCTGCTTTGCAAGGCCTGGGCTGCCCTCAGGTGGCAAAATGCAGAGAGAGCTCCACATCTCACTTCAGACTCCCACCTGCCATGTCAGCTATTGTCCCTGACATCCAACAGAGGCTTGTGCCCACTACCCAAACCACACTCCCACTATGGTCTATGCAACAGGGGAGTCACTAGGGCCCAAGAAGATAAGGCCAGAAGCAGCACAAAAACATCCAAAAAAAGATTTATGAGGTCTCATTTCTAAAGATTCTCAGTTCATAGAAAAATACATTTTCTTTCTCAAAAATGCACCTGGTCAGAATTCAATTGGGCTTTACTGCCTTATAACATCTCAGATAACTATCGAGCTACAATCTTTGCTTTCCATGTATTAGGAAATGAGAAAGGCTTGGACACAAGTAGTTAAAGGTGAGAAAGGAGCCAGGGACTTTTGTTCTAGAGCTATTATTCTGTTGCAGATGAGGAGAGATTGCTGTATTGGTTTCCTCTTTTCCTCCCATTCACTTCACTTTTAAAGCAAGTTTGCCAAAGGCTTAGTAACGAAAGAAGTAAAAAGGTGGCAGTGCCCTGCTTCTGTTTCTTCCTTTACCAAAACAATGTTTAGGCAGTCTTAAGAGGACAAGATCACAAGCTAGAGAAGCTGAGCAATCAAAACCTGCCACTCACCACATGCTCTCCTCTTGCAGGATTCTAGGAATGTAACCTTTTTAAAAATTCCTTTATTTTTAATTATGATGCATACCATGAAAGTGCCTGGTTGTGTGCAACTCAGCTACATTCTAGTTTCACACAAAATGAAGCTTTTCTACTGAAACACTGTACTGAACCAAGACATTCTGTTTTCTGGTATAATAATCCACTTTCCATTTTCTACTTAGTAATAGAATAAAACAAATCAAAATTGAGAGGGAAAGTACTGCATCTTAAATAAGGGCATGTAATTATAGTATCTTTTCCATTATAAAAAATGATCATCAACCAGTAAGAATCAATCAGAGCACAAAGAAATAACTCAGACTTGCCAGTGCAAACCAAGATTGATTTTGGTTACTTAAATCAGTTTCATGCCTGTCAATATAAGGTATCATGAAATCAGTGATTTTGAATCAAATCACAGTGGGGAAAGCACGACAACACGTGAAATGCCCACTCAAGACAGCATGAAGGAGCCAAATACAGATCACAGGCAGGGAAGACTGGAGAGAGAATAAGTGCTACAATTCCTGGAAGTGCTGTTTCGCAACATATAGGGCAAAGGCAGACTCGTGACAAGAGAGAAGCAACAACATCCTGCCACTCCAAGGAGCTACACCAAAGCTACAAGCTACACCAAATCCATGCCTCTTTTCCTGATGAACCAAGCAGCAGCTCAGCAGGCTTCAGGGCATCACTAAGTGGGGGAGGTGCTTCTGGGCTCAGCTCTGAGGTGAATGGCATTGAGCAAATTGAGAGCACCAGTGCAGCATACAGAGGATCAAGGCACAGACTGACTAAGAGGAGCAAAGCAGAGCTAAGTGGCCAGGTAGCAGCTAGCACATCCACAGAAGACATGCAGGCAAGCAGCAGCAGGATGGGTCCAGAAGGAACATGCAACAAGTCCTCAGCAGAACCAGATGCAAAAAGACTTTGAGCAATCTTCCAGGCAAGGATCTGACAAAACATCAGTAATGGTCTCTAAGCCAGCACCAAATCTGTATCCGGCTCTGATGATGTCAGAAGGGAGGCAAAGGAAAGATAGTTGTCTCTAGTTGCTGTGGATTATTTCAGCAGATAATGCACAGAATGCGAAGAACAGAGTGTCAGGGCTGTAGGATGCTGCAGTGGAAGGCATAGAAAGCTGCAGCAACAGAACTTGGGCTCCTTTGGGGTATGTGAACAAAACAAGGATGCTCTGAACTGGGACAATCCTTTTGAGGATACAAAAAAATTAACACTACTAACCGGTAGAAAGCAGCTGGTTCTGCATTGACACGAATCTGCATGTGCTTGAACCTGTACAACCAAGAAAACATTGTAATTGTGCACAAATGCTCAGTGAATTATGTAGCCAAAACCATTCCTAGAGGAAACTTATCTTCCAAGTTAGACCAGTGATCTGAGGCATCTCTTGACAGAAATTCTCAACAGGCTCAGAAGGGCATCAGAGACCAAGGCTTAAGACGAGGTGCCATCATTCAGGGCCAGCTCAGTGGTGCATTTGTTTGATATCCTGCTCTCTGTGCATGTCTTCTTAGCCCTTGGGCTTACTGTTTGCTGCTAGTCCAGCATCACCATATAAAATCACCGCAGCCAACTGCCCTGGGCTGGGCTCCCTGTGCCACAACAGCTTATGCTGCTGTCCCTGGATGCCTTGAGCCCCAGGGAAAGCTACAAAGCCCCTGCTACACACACAGCCAACCCTACAAGCGAGGGGGAGGAAGTGAGTTGCAGAGCATATGGAAAGACTGGGCTGTGAGACGGAACCAAGGGCATTGCCTGCCATGACACAAGGCTGTGAATGGTTGGCAGGGGCTCAGTACACCGACTTTGAGGCACCATTGCACAGGTAGCCTTCTCTGAGAGTGGTGAAAGTCACAGACAAAGAAGCAGCTACATACACAGCACTGAATGGGGACAAAAAAGAAGCTTTCACAGATGCTGCCAAGGGGCAGTGAAAACACAGCTCTGTTGGGACTCACCTGAAATCTCCCTCCAGTTTTTCCTGCTGCACAAGTTTAGACACAATTGGGCTCATCAACACTTTGTTAATCATCGTCCCAATGACGAAATATCCAAAGATGCTCACTGGGCCTAGCCAGCCTGTGCTGCAGAGGAGAAAGAGAAGTCAGCTAATAATGCAAACAAAAGGACACTCCTGCACCATTAGGCTCAAACAATCAGAGCCCTCAGCTGTCACCTCTCTTGGCTTTCACAGAAGTTTGGGGGCCAACATTGCACATCCCAGCATCCCTAAGGCAGAGTTCTCTTTGGAGTGCAGAGACCACTCACCCATGTGTACAAATATCCATCTGGGGAGTTGTAACGTGGGTGGCAGGCTCCAAAGAAAGAACATAGAAAAGAGGTGTGCAAGCAGGGCCGGTATGTATCCTTACCTGTGAAAGCACTGGTATGTGTAGTAGGCCAGTGTGAAGGGTGAGATGACGAGCTTGCTGGCCATGGAGCTGAGCTGCCTGCAGAACCTCTCCACATCCTGGCTGATGCGCTGGTCCCTGCTCAACACAAAGAGCCATTGACACCATTACAGCCCAGAAGAAAGAGCCAGTACTAAATGCCTAGCAGGGCACAAACAGGGCTGTTTCATTGCATGAACACAGGACAGGCTGCAGGTGAACAACCTTGCCTGGGAAGGACCTGCAGCTCCCCCACAGAAGACCATTTTCACGGCCCAGCAGAACCCACCCAAAGGCGTTCATGGCACTCAGGAAGAACAACTCTTGCCATTGCTTTCACCCTGGTCCTTGTATTTTTCCCTTGTTCCACTTTCTACAACACTTGTTCAACACTTGTGCTGAAGGTCCCTGCATCAATGTCCTTTTCTTCTGGAACAACTCCATACTATGAAAACCTACTGATTCTCTCCCTAAACTTAAGTACTGGGCTGAGATGCCATCAGACCCACAAGGACAGGCTAGGCACAGGCTGGGCCTTTACCAGTTGCTGGATATTTGCAAACACTTCCATCAAAGCTACCCTCCCATAAGAGCTGATGCCTTGGCTCTGCATGGAATGCTTCTGGTTCCTTTGCTGCAAAGAAGGAAGTGCTTCCACCCACTCCAGCCCCCAAGAGCAGGAAGCAGAACACCAAGCCTTCTCACCTCACTGGCAGCAGGCACATGGGTGACACACCCTCAAGTCCCATATACCCCATTGCTGAGCAGGAGTTGCACTTGGGTAATTAGGAAGAATTTCAGTATATTTACTCCTCAGCACCTCATCTGTCCAGAGCAAATGGATGAGGGCTTCAGCCTGCTGTGCTAAGCTCCAGTGGAAAGGCCATAACTTAATGCTGGAGTTCAGAATGAAGAGCAAGGATGGACTCCTGGTTATTCTCAGTACAGATAGAACCAAAAGGACATTAATCTTTTAATATTTTTGCAGTTCTGGAACAGCAATGGAGTTAATGCTGGGGCAGTTCTCACCCTGACTGACCTTACAGTCATCATTTTTCCTTTTCCTCTGACTGTAATATTCCCATAAAATTGTAATTTAAATTGTGCTATAGTCTCATAGGAGGATATTGCTTTTTACGAGCTATTAAGTAACATGTAATGAAAACACATGAAACACATGAAAGCATCCACTCAAATGCTCTGCTAGGTGCTGCAAGTATGCCACTCAGAAGCCACTTTTCATTCCTTCGAAGTGGATGACTCCATGCATTTAACACTCAGTCTGGTTTGCACTGCATAATGGGAGGTCTCTGCTGCACTAGTTTGTTCTCTAAGTACCTGGTGAAGGGAAAAAAACTCTCATCAAGAAATTGCAAGATGAAGAGAATTTTTGCAGTGGCACCAAAACCACACTAAACAGTAAGATTGAATGTTGGAGCAGAAGCAAGGTGTAATGAGATATACTCCACAGTAATCCCACACATTTGGTCTGCAAATGCCAGGAGAGCTATCTCTTTTGCTGCAGAGCAGGTTGACCCAGTTGTCTCCTACATCCCAGTGCAGAATGTGAACATGTTCCCTAGTTAAAAATAAACCTGAGCTGAATAATCATGTGGTGAGGGGCCTCTGTCCTCCGCTTCCCCTCACACCCTCAAAGAAAAAGACAGGAGCTTCTGCCTTCAATGTGCTGCATGCCCTCGTGATAGACATGGATTTTTAACCTCTCCTTGCAAGTCCATGCCACTGCAGAACACTATCAGAAATGATCATTTAATGATAGTGGGAGCAAACCCAACAGCAACCTGGAAGTGCAACAGCTTGATAATGATGACCCACTGTCAAACATGTAGAGCTGTTTTACCCTAGCTGAGACCTCTCCTCTTGCTTGCTGCTCCCCCTTAGATACCCAGCATGTTTTCTTGCAGCAGCCACACAAACTACCCTGCTCTGCAATGAAGGAGGAAGGGTAGGCAGCAGAAGTGCAGAAGCTGCTTCGGTTTCTTGAAGTTTCCACCATCAGCAAGTTAGGAGTCGCTGCAAGACAGCAATTTTTGCCCAGGACCCTGGGTATGGTCTCCTCTCTTACCATCCACATGGGAAATGGCACCAATGCAGTGACTATATCAGAGGTGCCCACTCCAGTGGAAGAGCTTGGAGTCTCAAAACAACAGTATAACAACACATTATCTGGAAAACATTCTCCTTTGATTTCTGTTTTTTCAGCTAGTATTTAATAATAACTTTAAATTCTGGAGAGGGAAGAATTAGGGAGATTCTACACTGAGTTCAGCTGGTTAAAGCATGGTGCTAATAATGCCACTGTGTGCAGCCTCTGTGTGGATTATTCACATAAAGAGTTGGATTCAATGATCCATGTGGGTCCACTCCAACTACGAATATTTTGTGATACTGTGACTTCTCACATGATGTCTAACATAGGATTTTTAGCTCTTCAGAGTACACAACTATGACAGCAGTGCCCTGTCATCAGGATGGAAGGCCAAGGTTCACATAGCTGTAAGGAAGGGAATTCGACCTTTGCTGCACAGCCCAGGTAGATCAACAGCTCTGCAGCAAGCAGGACAGTGTACAAAGCAAACTGGGGTGGGACCTCTTGGAGGTGGGGACTGGAATCCACAAGGGGAGACTGAATGCTCCTTCTCTTGTATTTCAGGTCACCACTGACACTTCCTTCCTAGGAACAGGAAAGGGAAATGCAGTCCTCATACAGTGCAAAACAAAGCCCTTCCTGGATGTGGCTCCCATGGGTTATCAAACCACTAAAATACAACTGAACTGTACTCAGCTGCAGATTCTGAATCAAACAGAACTGGGACTGTTCTAATGCACCAGCTGCATGAAGGAAAGGGAAGGCACTGCTGACTTCAGCTAGGCCATTAGCAACATCACAGAGTGTCAAGGACTGAGTTTGCAGACAGGGTGTTTTATAGCAGCACTAGATCCCTGTTCCAATGGGCATCCACTTTCCTTGCAACTGAAACACCCTGCCCATAAAACCATCATGACCATCAGTCACAGGAGCTCCCAGCAACAGGGTCCCACCAGGGTAGAAGAGGGTACCTAGATTTGTGCCTAGATGGTAAGACCTTCTAGGGCTCAAGCCCCTACCCAGAGACAAAGAGAAGTCAGGAAAAGGTGCGCAGCAGCCCAGGAGAAGCCAAGCAAGATACTGAAAGAAGCTGCTGGCAGCCTACGGGTTATCGATGTCCTCACGCAGCACGTGCAGGCTGTAGTAGACCTGGCCTTGGAAGTAGCAGCTGTGGAGGTATTCAGTGAGGGATTTCCTCCAGTTCACATACATCATGTTGCAGATAAACTGGTCGAAACTTTTCAGCTGGAACAAGGGCAAAGAGATGGATGGGGAGAGATAAGTGAGAACAAACATTTTTTCAAAATGAAATAAAAACTAGCAGTTTGTACTAGTGATCCAGAGCATGGGCAGACTTTAATCCTTTGTGACCAGAATCATACCAGGAGTCATGAGCAGCTTTCCCTTCCTCTCCCAAGACATGTGAAGCTCTGGTCTTACCGTGGAGTTAACAATGATCAGAGTCACGGCAACGGCAGTCAATGTTTTGAACCCGGAGAAGTCCTTGCTCCCTAGGACCTCATAGTACTGGCTGGGGATGACGCCGACCTGGTAAATAACCAGCTGCTCTGGAAGAGAAAGGCAAGCAGGGGAAGGAGTTGATGGACTGAGGTGATAAGGCAAAGTGGGGGACCACAGGGAGCAGACGTGGGGTGCAGTCCCCCATCCCCACCACCCAGGCTCACCCAGCAAGACGACACCGAGCAGCGTCAGGAACATGAGGGCGCTCGGGGAAGGCCACCCAGGAAAGAGCACTGCCAGGAGCCGCAGGAACCGCCGCAGGAACAGCCCGTCCAGCCGGGAGCCAGCCCTGCAAAGGAGGGAGACGCGGGGGCCGGCAGTGAGCTCGGGGATCCCACCCCACCTCCCCTTCGCCACTTCCCGGCCCAACCCGGTCCGTCCTCACCGCCCGCTGGCCCCGGTGCCCCCCGCGCTGCCGCGGCCCCACGCCATCGGCGCCCGCCGAACCGGACCGGCTGGGCCAAACCCGCCCCCGCGAGCGCTTCACATGAATATTCATCACCTTTCCTCGCCCGGCATCAGCCCCGCCCGGGACCGGCCGCGGCTGCCTTCGCTTCCGTGTGCGGCGTCACCATCGAGATCCGCCCGCCAGCACCGCCTCTGCCGCGCCACTCCGGGGAGCGCCCCCTGGCGGCACGCCGCGCTGACCGCGGGCACATCGCCCCCTGGCGGCGCCGTGCGAATGTGTGGTCAGCGCCCACCCAGCCCGCGCGGTCCCCTCAGAGCCGAGCCGGGCGGGCGGTCCCCTCAGAGCCGAGCCGGGCGGGCGGTCCCCTCACGGCCGAGCCGGGCGGGCTGTCCCCTCAGAGCCGAGCCGGGCGGGCGGTCCCCTCAGAGCCGAGCCGGGCGGGCGGTCCCCTCACGGCCGAGCCGGGCGGGCGGTCCTGGCGCGGTGATGTGCTCGCGTCCTTCACCTCCTCCCCGCCCGCTGCTCACAGACACGGACCGCAGTGCCGGGCGGGGTCACACACTGAGCCACAGATCGCAGGGCCGGAGAACCCGAGCACTGACGCCTCTCCTGAAGAAAGAGCTGGACAGGCACGAACTGATCCCTCTGGAGATCCCAGAGGTTGAGGGACAGTCGCCGTGGGCAGCGGGTATTTCCCGCATGTTACAGGGGAGACAAGAAAGAAGTTCCAGTACTAATTCTGCACATTCGTCTTATTTTGGGGTGGGCAGTGAAGTTTCAGGTTGCTTCCAAAGGACACAACTTGCAGTGGTCATTGCAGGGGATTTCTCAAGCCGGGACATTGGGATTAGGCAGCGATCCCCAGCGTGATGGTGAATGGCAGTGCGTGCTCCCCACCCTGCTGCAGGAAGGGGAACGGAGCAGTGCGAAACCCCAGGCAGAGGGACGGACCGGAAGAAAGCAGCAATGAGCTGTGTCAGTGAATGGACCCTCTCTGGCTTCTCTCAGTGACCCCAGTTTTAGTACAGAAACCAACAACTTTTTTTCAGGTTTGGGCTGGAATCTGGTTTCATAACCCAAAACTCTGAGTTATTAAATATTTCAGAACAAGTAAATTTCTGGACAAGCCTGATGATTAGAGATGAGAGATCCTATGAGCTGTTATGCCTTCCTTACTTGAGCGTCTCTCACCTACCATCCTGTTGATGCCATTTCTTCTGCAGAGCCTTTGGGCTTCTGCATGTACCCTGTGGGTCCCTCTTCCCATATGCCTAGTAATTTTGTTTTTCTGCCAGTTCCCTGCCTCCCAGCCCTCCTCTTCCTTCATCCTCATCTCCTTCCTCTTTGTTCTGCTGCTACCTGCTCAGTGGTACAGATAATTCATACTTCACACTTCACAAAATCAGTGTATATGCTCTCAGGGATGAAAGAAGACACATCAGCGTGTTTCCTCAGCAAATGGCCTTGTCTCTAAGCAGTGCCCCTTTCTCCTTTCCCTCGTCTCCCTTCTCTCAGCTCTTTTGGAATTCACAATGCTATCAGTCATACCTAAAGGTTAAGCTCCAGAGGGCAGAGATCAGCCCTGTGAAAACCTGACCTCAGTGATGACTAACTTTTATGTTAAAAGAATCATGGGTTTTTTTTCTCAGCTGTTGCATCAGACCTGGGTGATGGTTGCTCCTAGGCAGTCACATCCTCTCATGGGGCAGTACTGCAGCTGTGGCAATTGTGTGTGTCACCTTGTCAATACTTACCAGGATTGAACTCACTCCTTTGCTCTGTTGTCCCCTTTATGATGAAGAGATTCCTTCCCTTCCTTCCTCGACTGATGAAATGGCTTTCCAGCACCAGGGGAGTCAGAGGATGTAACACAGAGATGAGATGGCCACAACTGTCTATCCCAAGCCTGCCCTCCTACTTCTTCCTTCTCCCCACCCTTTGTTCTGTCACTGGCATCCCACGACCTCCACCTGACAAAGCACACGCTGTGAGCTCCCTTTGGTGTATCAGCTTCACTATTTTTCCTGGGAACCCTCTTAAGGCAGCCAAGATCAAGAACAAAAGAGAAGTGCTTTCTCGGTGCCTCTCCACCCCCCTCTGAAGCTGTGCCCTAGACACTCAGCTGCTGTCAGCACAGAAACATTTACATCTTTTACAGCACTCCAGCTCTACTTCTCACGTTTCTCCCCCAGCAAACACCATGGCCATTTCAGTGTGTGCCTGGGGGCAGGGCTTGGGAAAGGACTGAGGAATCACAACTTGAGCAGAGTTTTATGGGTCTGTTTGCACTGAAGGGCCATATCTCAGCTCTCTGACTAGCTACAGCCCCAAGAGAAACCCCCTCTGCATTGCTAACCTCTCAGCAAAGTGTATGCCATGAATACAAGGAAGCGAGAGCTGGGCCTGGCTTGCTAGGTCCTGTGCTCCTTGAGGCAGTGCAAGTTAATTCCTTGTGGTGTTTAACCGCAGCCCCATCTGCTCCTGCTTGCTAGGTGTGAAACATCCCATCCCCCATCCTCCTCTGTCTGTTGCATGCATTTTTGCATGCCCTAGACCAGTGAAGGAAGCCAGATCCTTCTGCATCCCTGGCTTCTCAGCCCCTGGCTCACGCTTTTCCCCACTGGCCCTCCATGTTTCCATTTCCCTGTGTCCTTCTCTGCCTGCTAGCCTGTAGCTGGGATGCAGGGAGAAACCTGACAAACCCATCTTTCACTACCTTTGTGTGGTAAGCAGTCCTGGGTGTTCTCTGAAGTAAGCAGCAGCTTCTGTCATCACAGAAAGAAACAAAGCTGCAGCCTTGAATCTGTAGCTTGCTTTCCCTCTTTCCCAGGTCTTAATGCTGCTGGCTTTGTGTGATGTTGCGTAATGAAGCAGTGCCAGAAGATTACCCCCTTCCTGGGCTTTCCAAAACTGAATCCACCATTTCCTGCCCGTGTTTCGAATTTCTAGTCTTCTCATAGGTACCTGTCCTCGCCAGAGCTTGCAACTTCTTCAGTGTGAGATCACCTACAAGCTTTAGCCCTCTGTCAGATCATTAGTAAGAAAGGGGTAATGAAAACTCCCATCCTGAGTTTCAGCTCTGTCTCTATTAGGGTGTGAACTAAACCAGCTAATTTTCAGCTGGATCAGCAAGCTGAACTGACTGACAGAGTCCCTCACAATCCTGTGCCACCCCAAAGCAGAGGGTGGGAATGGGAATCCTCTCAGAGGGGGAGCAAACAGCACAGGCCAAGCTCAGCATGGCTTAAACCTCCATGGAGCCACACCACGGGCTCCTGCTGTGATATCTTAATGATTCTGCCTTTTCCTTCTCCACACTGTGTGTCTTAATTAGCCTTTCCCCCTCCTGTGGGCCAAACTGCTCTGCTTTCTTTTCAGTCCTCCTTCCTTGTGCTTTGCCTCTAACAGTGTCTTTCTACTGTACACTTCAAAGGCTTTGCTTACTGCATCTCCCCCATGCTGGCATTGGCTGGTAACACCCCCAAAGCAGGCCAGGTCTGCCATGAACTCATAGTCATCGAAAAGGTTTTGGGCCCTTTGGATCTGGGTAAGAAGCAGGAATGGGGGAGGAGAGGTCAAGGATTTTCAGCATTTCACCTATGAGAAGAACTATTAGTAACACAGGAAAAAAAAAAGGGGGGGGGAAGGGACCCCTCCTCCACCCACCCTCCCCAGAGGAGAGCCCGCTGAGGGCAGAGTGCTTTTATGTGCAAGTAGGAGGGAAGGAGAGTGTTAGGGCTTCAGAGGGAAATGCTTTGATCTTGACTTTGAATCTCCTTCAGTTCCCAGCTCTCCCCCACTCTCCCACCTATGGCCAGGACCACAGGATGCAGCCAGAACTCCTAGTCTTTGCTCAGTGCTGTGGTACTTCACTTGCTCTTTCACATTTAACTTCCTCCTGTGCACCTGGGAGCCTCACAGAGGCCTCGTGGGGCAAGAGCACAGTGCCAACACCAAGTTCAAACTTTCTCTCCCATCTCACAGAATGGGAAGAAAAAGGGAACCCAGTCAGACAGAAGCCAGAAGGGAAAAGAGCCCCGAGATGAGCAGAGGCGAATTAGAGATGGGACCTACTGTCAAGGCTCTGGTACCCCAGGACAGGGGGCAGGCAGACCTGGCTCTCCTGTGTATCCTGGTGCATTAGACTGGTCAGTGCTGAACATGACCCAGAAGATGAACAGGGAAGCAGTGACCACTGGGAGACTGACAGGGAGTGGCTCTCAGGAGACAGCACTGATGTCCCCTGGTCCCACAAAGAGTTATTTTAAGTTGGAGAGAGGAGAACAGCGATGAGATGCCTTGGTGTTCTCTGCAGGATGGAAGGAGGCAGCGCTGATGGATGCTGGACAATGGAGAACGACCCTGAGTTCTGATTCACTTCCAAGGAAGAGGACAATAGGGTGTAGGAGAGACTTAGGGGCCCCCAGTCTCTTGTCTTAGGTGGGATCTAATGGGTAGGCAAGTTCCCCACTTCCCCTGGGAGATGAAACTCCTGACTGGGCCTTGCCCTTAAGTTGTCATAAAGGTCAGGCCAAATACTTCTGGCGTCTGTGTTGCCCCTTTTTTTCTCAGCTGAAGTCACTCCTGTTAAGTGCTCTCCCTTGCTGAGGTTGATGCACTTGAATAGCCCTGCCTGCCAGTTCTCACTTCAGCACCACTAAATAGATTTTTTACTCACATCATCTCCTGTTTGTAATTCAAACACTCCAGTTCTGCTACTCCTGGCTGATAACTTCCTATAGTTTGTTGCTTTCCCTTTCCGTATGACGTGAACAAACCTGTCTGCTGATGTCCAGCACTGTCTGGGTATGCACAGACCAGAGCTCACA